CTCTTTCCACAAAGTACCATTCAAAATAATGTCATTTTCTTTCTTAAAATACACATTTGTCATTGTAAATTTACATCCCGTCTTATTAAATAGTGGTACTCTGTGTAAAGAGTATGATTTACAAAATTATTAAACATTCAAAAGTCTTTAAAAAAAAGCTACAGATCAAAGAAAGTGACGCAGGTGCAGCCTCCGGCGTGACCCGTGCCGGGCACGGGAGGAGCTCAGCAGACGCGCCCGCGCCATTCACAGAGCGCCCAGACGGGGACGGTTTCACAGAGAACTTGGAAATAAAACCTGCCCTCCCCGGGGAGGGAGAATTAAAGAACCAGGCCTAGAGATCAGAATAAGTTAAGTCTGGAACAATATACACGCATATACAGCTTATCCACACTATGGACAAGGCCACGGGAAGGCGGGCAGGTCAGTCGATGTCGCTGAGGTCGCTGGTGGGCTCCCCGTGCACACGGCTCAGGTGGCTCATCGCGCGGTCGAAGGCGACCCTCACAGCCTTCCTGATGCTGGAGTTTCTCCCCTCCATCATTTTCAGTTTGTCTATGGTCTCGTCCATGCCGAGGGGGACCATTTTGGACTTGGGGAGCCATTGCCTTTTGAAAAGAGAAAAGCCGGAGTGGTCGGAGCCGTCCGCACAGCTACTCGGACGCACTTGACACGATGCCCTGGCAGCTCCGAGCCCCCAGTGGGGAAGAGCAGTCGACATGAGGTGCTCAGCGGCCAAGGGAGGGAAGAGAGGCTCGTGCCCTGGAACCCACGCCCCCCCCCCCCCGTCCCCGCCCCAGGGCGCGGCCCCATCGGCCAGCCCTCATGGGCCGCAGGACAGGGGCACGGCCCAACCCTCCTGCCAACCCCGGGAGAGTCCGGGAGAGTCCGGGGGACTCGGGGAAGGCGTGAAAATCAAGCCGTCCCCACCTCTCATCCACAACACTCCCCACAGGGCCACTGGATCCTGGGGGCTGGCGGGAGACAGGCGCCACCCAGCAGCCTTCCACGCCTTCCCCGAGTGGCCACCGAGGGTCACGCGCAGGAACTCTGACGCACGCACACGCTGCAGGTGCACGCACGGAGTGGGGATGGGCAGGGGGCCCGGCAGCGGGGCAGCCGACGGGCCTCGGACCAGACAAGGCAGGCACAGGCCTCCACGGGGTCTGATCGGGAGCGCGGCACGGGGCAGAGAGACACGGGGCGTGGAGCGCTGGCGGCCGCGCGTGGCCGCACACACCCGACCCAGCCGTGCTCGCCAGCGCCGGGGGTGCCCGGGGCGCTGGGAGGGCCCGCGCCCCGCAGCCGGGCCCCCACGGCCACCCACACCGGGTAGCCCTGCTTCGGGCACAGCAGGGGCCGCGGTCCTGGGGGCAGAGCGCCTACGCCGGGGTCACCGGGGGCCCCTCATCAGCACAGCAAGCTTTCAGACCAAGAAACGGGGATACGGGCCACGCGCACCTCGTGAGCGCTCGGGGGGCAGCACCGGAACCCAGGACCATCGGGGTCTGAAGCAGGGAGGGCCTCCAGGCAGGGCGCTGGGGTCCGGAGCCCACAGCCCAGAGCGGCGTGGGGACCCACACACACAAGAGGCGAAGAGACCGGGCCGGGCCGGTGGCAGAAACCCACGGGCCCGGCCGTTCGCACGCGGCTCCGCGAGAGGCTCACAGGCGGAGGGGGACAGGGCCCCCCGTGGCCCCTGCACGGATGCCCTCGGCCCACGCACGCCTCACGCGCCCCGCGGCCTCTGAGCCAGCTCGGCACCCGGCACCCGCACTCACCAGCTTCTCTTGTTGTCAAAAAAGAGAACGAGGAACAGCCTCTCGTCAGCCTTGGTCTGCATGTGCTCGCCGACCTTCAGCACGTCCAGCGGTGGGGCCGGGATGGTGACCCCGTTGTGGTGGCCGGGCACGCGCGGCATCTTGGGGTCGATGATCTGCCGAGGGAGGACGCGTGTGGGTCGCGTTGGAGAGCCCCCCCACCGTGCCCCCGGAGCTCTCTCCCCGGGCTCCGGCCCGAGCCGGGCTCCGAAGCGGCTCTCCCGACACCGACGCCCTGCGCGGGCAGCTCTGGGCGGGCGCCCACGGGACACCTGTGCCGCAAGGGCAGCGGGGCAGCCCCGGACCCGGGACAGAGGCCGCGCCGCTCGGTGCCCTGGCTCCCCGGAGGGCGGCCCCGCGGCCCCCCGCACCCAGACCCCGCGCCCCGCCACCCCGAGGCTCACCAGGGCCGGATACGAGGGGTAGCCGCTGCACTTGGCCCACACGACTTTCAGAGGCTCGAGAGCAGAGGCCGCGGCGTCGGACGAAATCCACATGCTCCTCTGACCGACCTCTGGGCAGAGAGAACGGGCGCCGTGAGGGGCCAGGCGGCCCAACCACGACCCGGGGCCGCCTCCTGCAGCGAGAGCTCCCCCCCGCCCCCCCCACGGTCCCACATCCGCCTGCACACGACAGACGAGCCTCGCGTCGGGTGCGGGCGGCCTGCGCAGAGGAATGGAGCATTCCACACGGGAAGCGACAGGCCGCGGGATAAAGCTTGTGACCGCCGTCCCCGTCGGGGGCGGGGGAAGGGGAGACTCGCGCGGACACCCCGGGGCGGAGGCGCAGGGAGCGGGCAGCCGGGGCCCTGCCGGCAGGACGGCCCACGCCGCGGCCGCGTCGCGCGCAGCCGCGGAGGCCGGGCGGGCTCACCTGCGGCGATCCTGGCCGCCTTGGCGTAGTTCCCGTTCTCGATGCAGGAGATCAGCTCGCCGCGGTCCTCCAGCGCGGGTCTGCGCACCAGAGCGGGCTTGCCCCGGCCGCACCTGGGTGCGCCGAAGCTTCGGGAAGAAGAGCGCGGCGCGGTCACAAAGCTTCGCCCCCTCCCCTCCCCGCCCCGCCCCTCCGCGGCGGCCCCAGAGCCGGGCCCTGCAGAAGCCGGGCGAGGGCCCCGCGGCGACCCACACGGGGCCCCGGCCACAAAGAGCTGTCCACGGGGCAGACGGGCAGGCGGGCAGGGCCGCGCTTGCCACCCTTCTGATAAGCGAAGGCCCCAGGAGGAAAAGACAGAACGGACATAACCGCAGACTGAAAATCTATTAATTTCCTCTGCGGTCACGCGTCCTATCTCTGGCGAAGGGGCACGAGGCAGTCCCCCAGGGACGGGGCGGGCGGGAGCGGGCCCCCCAAGCCGTGCCCACCTGGAGTCACAGAGAGGGCCGCTGCCGGACGAGATGCTGGACTCCGAGGCGCAGCGTCGTCGGGGCGCGGCTCTCCTCCCCGGGGCGCCCCCCAGCCCCTGCTCACTCCGTGCGCCCCCAAAGCCGTTGGCGAGACCTGCAACACAGGCACGCGGGCCCCTGAGCTCAGCACCCCGGGGCCCACGGCGCGCCACAGCTCCCCCCGTCTGCGGGCCCACGGACCCCCCGGCCCCGCAGCGCCGACGACACAGAAGACACGCGAGTGCTTCGCCACACGTCTCGCTCGGCGCTCAGAGCACCCTGGTCTGAGGGTGGTGCTCTTCCCGGGAAACAAAACGTCCGACAGGCCCCACAAAGCTAAGAGCGTGCGGTGACTCCTCCCCAGACCCGCAGACTCGCCCGACCAGCCCCTGCCGTGGGGGGGGACCGGCCCCTCCCGGGGCAGTGACGCCACCACCAAGAGCGGGTTCATTCGCGGGCGCATCGCCAGGGAACACAGGAACCTCAAACACCCGAGACCCTCCAGAGCAGAAATCGCGCTCTCTTTAGCCGGGGCCACCCTCGTCCCAAAGCACCGCAGCTACCAGCATGCGGTGGGGTGGGCGCGACCCGGGGCCGAGGCCACACGTCCGGGCTTCCTTCCCACAGCCCGCGGGAGCGAACAGAACCCGTCGACTCACGATCTGGGAAGTGTCTGAAACTCAAGGCACATGTCAGAGTCCAACCACTTCCTCCAAAAAAGCCCCGCCTCACATCGGGCAACAGAAGGCGTCTGTCCACGCGTCCGTCCACGTGTCTGTCCACGCGCCGGGATGGGACGGGGTGGTGACGGGGAACCGGGCCGCCCCCTCCGGGTCCCACAACCAGACAGTCGTGCACGTTTCTTTCCCCAAAAAGAATCCCGTTCCCACACTTAAAAAAATTTAAACCCAGTTCTTCAGAAGTTGAGGCCAGATTACGGGATTTTCTCATCTGCCTTACGTGCTTCTCTGTGTTTTCTCAGTGACAAAAACACATGTTAAGCGAGGGCAACGAACAAACTCTGACGGTGGCTAAGAAATAAAAACGCGAGCAGTGGCTGAGCGCGGCTGCTCACAGACTGAAGCCACGTCTTCCTGAAGTAAATTCATCAGGCATCTCGCTCCACTTGGTCAACTCAACAGCACCCGCTTTAAAGAGAACTTACTATTTTTCACTTTTCACTTTTAAATCTAATTTACATTTTTCTAGCAGAAACTGTGGTCGGCTGGGGGTGCTACACTCACTTGTGGAATTTGGACATTCGTGGGCCCGTAAAATACAGCAGCTGAGCAGAGGGCCCAGGGCCGAGAGCCGGTTCCAGCCACACTCGCCAGCAGGCCGGGGGACCAGAAAGAGGTAGAGCGACCCCCAGGGTCCCCCAAGGCCAAGAGGTCTCAGGAGACGCAGAAGGCGGCAGGTCCCCAAGAGCAGAGAGGCCCCAACTCGGAGGCAGGCAAGTCAGAGACAGCCCGCCCAAGCCAGACACACCGACAGAAGGAGGGAGCCCAGGGTGCAGGATCCAGGTCCGAGAGAAGGGGCAGCAGTCCGGAAGGCGCGTGTCCAGCACCCAGAACCAGTGAGGCTAGGAGGACGCAGCCTGCGCCCTCAGGGGAAGCCCAAGGACGTCACCCGACTGGCCGGTGCGGACACACCCTGTGGCAACCAGAAGGCACAGCCACAAGGCCACACCTCTCGCAGTATCAACTTGGAGCTGAGGCCTAGTGATTCTCGATGGCCTCACTCCGCGTCTAAACCCCCTCAGCCTTCTAGGGGCAGCTTCGCTTAGGCCGGCAAAGCTGAGACTTTCCGAGCAGAGCTGGTGGGGGGGTGGGGGGTGGGGGGGGGGGTGGGGAGCGGGGCCCAGAGGAGAACGGGTGCGCCAGGAAGAGTCCTGCAGGGGGCCTCTTCCTGTCCTGCCATGATCGCTCGGAAAAGCGAGAGGACGAGCAGGCGGCACCCAGAGCGCACCTGACAAAGGTCCGACTAAGGCCGGGAGCCCGAGCAGCGGCAGCCACGGCCAAGGACGCCGGCACCCATGGAACCAAACCACAGAACCTGGCACCTGCACGGCATGCCTGGCGAGAACCAGCTGAAGCCACTCTCCCCACGAGCCGCTAAGGGGGAGAGATGAAAACGCGGCTCGGTGCTCGGTCTGAGAAACCAGAGAACGACCACGTCTCCCTCGACCTCCCTCAGGATTTAGGAGGACACACGCATCCACGGTGACTAGTTACTACACACGGTTCTTCCCGGTGCCCAGGAAACGTCACCGAACACCCACTAAATGGCAGGCACCACAGACAGGCCCAAAGCAGCAGGCCTCACGGTGGCCGGGGCGCCCCGACGCCTCCCTGCCCCCTCACTGGCCTCGACAGGCCGACAGGCTCCCTGTCCAAACAGACCCCTCCTGCCGGCTGCGGCCCAGGGAGCCCGCCGGCCCCGTCCTGGAGACCCTGCAAGGACTTGCAATGACATCAGGTTCTGGGGGTCAGCACAGAGACGGGCCCACGGATCATTTGCAAACAGCAGGCATCCATACGGCGCCTGAGCCCCAGCCTAAAACCTGCTTTTAACAGAACTATTTCAACAAGAAGTCATTTTTTCAATGGCGTAAGTCAAACTGGTACACTACAAAAACCAAACTGAAAGACAGGTGGCCATCTGGAGGAGGCCAGTGCCCCCGTGGCACCCGAGCCTCATGAGGACCTCTTAGGAGGCAAAAGACACGCTGACCTTCCCTCTCTGCCCCACAGGCACCACACCCCGAGCCAGGGGGGCCTTGGCCCAGCCGCTCCCCACCCAGTCGAGGCCTTCCCAGGGCACACCTGGGCTGGGCCGCATGGGGAGGGGGGACCCCAGGGGCCTCCTGAGACAGCCGACCAGCAGTGCCAGAAGCAAAGCCCTACAGAAAGCTTCCTGAGGCCGCGAGCTCTGCTGTGAAAGGCTCACATCAGCCAGGTGGCAAGAAGCCGCCGAGACCCACACCTGCCACAGCCTCGCTGCTCCGTAAGGAACCTTCCGGCTGGCACCCGGTGAGAGGCCGAGCGAGCAGGGTGGGCCGCGCTCGCTGCTGTCCACTACGGGCCACGCAGCGTAGACACCAGTGATCTCCCCGCCACCACCCAGGCTCCACCTGGCTCCCCAAACAGGACGATCGGGGATGCGACACAGGACCGGCCTCAGAGGCCGGGTGGGCACGGTGACCGCACTGGGCCTCCTCAAGCGCTGGGGCCATCCGTTAACCTATTTCTACATCTTTATTTTCACTACTGGCGACAGAACTGCACTTCTGTGCATTTTTCAACCTTTCCGCGAAAACACGGCAGATTAGATGCCAACCACCCCGCTTTTGCCTAGACCAACTCCTCGAAGACACAGCCGTGGCAGGGGAAGCTCCCACAGGACACCTCCAGGCCCCACGGGCAGGACTCCCGCTCGCTGCAGCAGCAGTGGGCACGGTGACCAGAGACCGAGCTGCCCGGCTCGCTCAATTCTCCCTGAGGGTCGACCAGCCGGCAGGAAGGGAAAGAGAGAGCGAGGGGAAGGGGGAGGCCAGGTAGAAACCCAGAAAAGAAAGATGCTAACGAGTGAAGGAGGCTTCACACATCCTCCAGCTGGGCCGCGTGCCTCGCACGGGGTTCCTTCCTGCGCCCGTGCCCGGCCCGAGACCCCCGGTCCTTTTGGGCCGGTACCGTGCCTGCCGAAGGCGGGATCAGAATCTCTGTCCGTGTAAGTCATCGGCAGGTGCCGCAGGCGAAGTACCCTGCTCCGCGGCCGCCCTTGGCATCGTTCACACCTACCCACGGGGCCGGGACGGGCAGGGAGGCGTCCCTGCCAGCTGCAGCCAGCTCCAGGAGGGGCACCGGGCGGCTCCTCCCGGGGCGTCTGGCTCGGACTTACAGGAGGGGGGGGGCGGGGTGGGGCACATCTCCTCCACGTGTTGGTGTTTGGGCTTTTGTTTGGAAAAAGGCTGAACGGATGCTTCCAGCTCCTCCACAAGAGTTAAGTGACACACAAGGGCGCAGCGATCTTTCTGCGTTCCAAAATGACCGCTTAGCAGAACTCCGTCCGAGGTGAACAAGAGAAAGTAATTAGGATCCAAAGAGTGAGCTACCCAGCGTGTTAGTAGTTAGAGTGAGAACCTGGAAAACAGCGAAAAAGCCATTTAGTCTGACCGGGGGCGCCGCCCTGAGCAGCCGAGGAGGAACGCGACTCCCTCTCGGTCTCTCTGCGTCTCTGTCTCTGTGTCTCTCTCCTGGACTGTCTGTCTCTCCTTGTCTCTGTCTCTCTCCCTCTGTCTCTGTGTCTGTTTCTTTGACTGTGTTTTGTCTCTGTGTCTCTCCCTGTCTCCTCGTCTGTCTCTTCTTATCTCTGTCTCTCTCCTTGTCCCTCAGTCTCTCTCTCTCCTTGACTCCGTCCCTCTCTCGGTCTCTCCCACGCACACACACCCCACGTGCACGCGGCAGGAGTCTCAGGAGCAGAGACCAGAAGCAGGAATGTGCCGGCCCGGAAGCCCGTTCTGGGAATCACAGAAGCGTCAGGGAAGAAGGAAGCGGGGGACGGAGCGCAGGCCCCAGGCGAGGTGGCACCGGAAGAGCGGAGTCGGGGGCTCTAACCCCGGCCCGCGGTGCCGCCCACGGCTCGAGAGCAGGGAGCCCCCGGGGGGCCGAGTGTCTCCAAACGAAGGGATCTGTGTTCACTCTAACTCGGAAATCTTGCGGCGTGCTGCGGGACACCAGAAGAACCCCTACAAGGCAGAGCGCACGGATGAATCTTTGGAAAAATCACAAGGTTCAGAACAGTTCGAGTCCTCAGATGGCGGAGAGCGCCGCTCGGAGCGAGCGATCCGGGGCGCACAGAGAGCACGGAGGCGGAGGTGAGGTGGAGCCAGAAATGGGAGCCGATGCGCAGCGTCAGGCCCGCGTGCGGAGCAGGTCCTAGTGCTACTAAGACTCCTGGGCCGCACGGGAGGGCGACAGGGCTCATCCCGTATCTACTGCCAGTCTGGAACAAGAAAGCAAACACCCCCGTGTCAGTCAGGCTCCGGACCGCGGCCGGCTCGCGGACGCTCCTGCGGGAGCCGCGGCAGCGCCAGAAACCTGCGGGGCCCCGCTCAGAGGCCGGCCGGCGGAAGGAGGGGCGCTCCGCGCCGGTGCCCGCGAAGCCCCCGGCAGCGCGGCCCCGGCACACGAGGGCGGCCGCGGGGCCCCCGCGGACCACTCCCCCGACGGCGCGCCCGATCCGGCAGCTCAGCCCCGGGCCCGGCGCGCTCCCGGCTCGCCTCCTCGCGCCACGACCGGACCCCGGTGCCCCCCGCACCGCACCGCACCGCACGCGGGAGACGAGCTCCGTCCAACGTCCACGAAACCCCCGCGCGGCCGCACGTTGCTCAGAAACAAAACAGGCTTTGACAAATTATTTTCAAAGGACCGGCTTGGTATCCGCCCATCCAAATACGAGCACGTGAACGCAGAATTTCTATAAAATTAGTTAAAGATGCAATCAAGACACAATTTATAAACCGTCACTTGGGCAACAAAAAGAATTCAACCGTGCGCCGCCGAGCAGGAAGCGCGACCCCTCGCCCGCACCGGAAACCACGCTGACGCTCGGCGGCCAAAGGCGCTCCCGCGTCTCGATGTGACGGGTGGACCGGCACGCACCCCAGGCCTCGGTCCGCGGCGAGAGCCCAGAGGACAGACACGTCCAGTCCCACCTCCGGGAAGAGGCGTCAGAGGCACAGCCAGTGTCCTTGCACGACGCAAGGGTGACAGCGGTCTAGCGGAACTGGCGGGGCCTCCTCGGCTTTCATCTGGAGGGGACACGGAGGCTGTCCCAGAACAAAGGCCGCCTCCCTCAAACCCAGCACAGGGGAGACCCCGAAAGAGCCACTACCGCAGCACGTGAGTGGGAACCTCCCGGTGAACTCGACAGATTTAAGTTTCAAAAGCTCAGCAGTGATGCGACCGCGTGTCATTTCCGCAGACAGCGGTCCTCTCCCTACACGCGCCCGCAGAGCCACAGAACAGTGAGAAACGTCACCACGTGCTTTGAGCAACTGCCCAAAGGGGCGCCTGGAGCCCACGGGCAGGCCCCTCGCAGCCCCGGGCGCGCGCCACCGGCACCCCCCGCGCACGTCCCTCCGGGCGGGCTCCATAAGCCAGACGCCGCCGCGCACGCGCCATCGGGTTCCCGGGGTGCACGGGGCGTGCAACGCGACCACGCCGGGCCGCCCCCGCCCCCGGCCAGCCCGTGATGGTGCCACCCTGGAGGACGCTGCGGCGTCTGGCTTCTCGTCTGGGGATAAAGAGGCCCCTGGACGGTCGGCTGCGAACGAGGGCCCAGCCGCTCCGCGACACCCTGGGGGAGAGAAGGCGGCGCCGTGGCGCTCCGTGGCATTTACCTGTGTCCAGGCGCTTTCCCGGGGACCCCTCCTCCACCTCGGAGTCGCCGCAGGTGCTCCGCGACCTTTTTCTTGGCTGCAGAAGAGTCTCCAACCTCGGAAGGACTACAGACAAAAAGGTTTTGGTCCCTAGCTGAGGAGAAGTTGGCTGGGTTTCAGTGTTCTTGGCAGACTTTGGGGGGCTTACACTTTTCGATTTGCAGAAGAGAACAGAAGTGCGTCTGTTTACATCGCTTGATGGCTCCGCCACCGCGGAGGCCGCCGCCGCCGGCGCATCGCCACTACTGGCGAGGGTGGGCTCTGGAGGGTGTCCGATTACCAGTGCGCTCTGAGTGCAAGTGCTATGTGATTCATTATCAAATGTGACTCTTTTGAATAGTTTACTCTGCTCTGGGTTCAGTTCTACTGGTTTGAGGGTTGGTGGTTCTGAATTAGTCTCCGAGTTTGAAGGAAGAGGTAATGCATCTGATGGTTCAAGTTTAGGGGGAGATTTATCTCCTGAAAAAATTATAAATAAAGTGATTTTTGAAAACTGATAATTATAAAATCTATTATAAAACTTACTACAAATGTGAAGTCCACCAAAACACTAATTCAATCAGGAAACAAAGCATCACACATACTGTCTGCAAGCAGTGAAGGGCCCGTCGGGTCACACTGTGTGCGCTTCCCTAACACCAAAGACTGAGGTGGCCTGGCGCCCCGGGTCCGGGTGCGCAGGTATAGAAAGTTCCTCTCTGAAAACTGTGAACAACTCCTTCACATATGTCGACAGTAACACATCATTCGAGTTCATGACAATTTCTGCGACCAACGATTCACTTACCTTGAGGAAGAAAAACAGTTCACTCAACTAGGGAGTCTAACGCGGCATTCCCACACAGTCCTGACCTGGGTCACGCGGTCAGCAAACAGGAGGACACGAGCGTGTCCGTGTGATTTCTGACCAGGGTGTCCTAAGTCGATGATAAACCCATCTGATGAGTGGCGAGTGGCTGTGAACGGCTCAGGGAAGCAGGAAAACCCCCACTCGGCTCTCCACATCCTTCACCCTCTGTGCCACGTTCTGCAATGTTCTACTCTGGGCAGTTTTTCTAGAATCTGACTTTAAGACTAAAAAGTCTTTGGAAGATGACTATTTTAGCCTCGTTTAAAAGGCTTCTTGACGCTACTGACATAAAAACAAGAAGCCTGAAAAGCCCAGGGAACACGACTTCGTCACCTGGCCCTGGGAGGTCGGTCTGCTGGCCACCAGGGCCCGGAGAGGAGGCCCTCCGGCGGCGGCGAAGCAGGCTGGCCAGCAAGGGCACAGCCTCTAGGACCAGCCGCTGCCTGGGGCTACAAGACACGTGACCTACAACCAAGAATAACAATTCATACGACCTAAGTCGATATATTATCACTAGGTATAGTTTTTATTTCATTGAACCTGCAAACTGCCCCAAGGCCACTTGAAAAAATACAAGTCAGTACATCCAATCCAGTCATCCTGAAAACGGGAAGCTACTAAGTTCCGCTTCCGTCTCAGAGCAAACGTTTTGAGAATCCTCCCTTAACAATGTGACAGGTGCCTCAGCTCTGTGGGGCCACTCGAAGCTTGCCGGGCACGTCACAGGTGACCCAAACACCACGGGAGCATGTCCTCAGCAGAAAGCCATATAAAGGGTCCGTGGCCGCACCGCTGCCCAGCAAACCGCGAGGCACGCTGGCGTGGAGGGAGAGCCTTCCTGCTCATCACTTCCAAGTCACCAACAACAGGTTTAGGCAAACAGCATTTACAAACCCCCCCACCCGCAGGGGGCGCTGAGCAAACGGGACCCGCAGGGCACAAAGAGCTGCTCCAGGAAAGCTGCTCCCAAAACCGGGGGCCAGGGGGGGCACTCTCGCGAGGAGCCTCGGCCACCCCTTCCCCGCGCACTGCACTGCCTCGGCTCACCCGCCACCTCCCGTCCCCGCCTCCAGCCTCTCCTGGGGCCCGCACACCAGGCCCCGTCCTGACCCTGCACCAGAGCGCCTGCCCCCTCCCTGCGGCCGACAGCCTCGGCGACACCAGGCGGTGACCGCTAGAGGCCGAGGGAGCGTCATCCCTCGCCAGGCTCTCCGGGCCCCTCTTCACGAGCCATCTCCACGCTACCAGTTGGGACTCGCATCCGGGCTCAGGCCCCCGGCCTGCCTGCTCCTGCCTGGGGAGCGCCGCCCCAAGGGCCCACGTCCCTGCCAGGCACACAGGGGCCCTGGCCCGCCGAGGTCACCCACACCTTCTCCGGCCTCTCATGCTAGGCCCATACTCGGCGTTCTCCTGCCCTTGCGTCCCTCGCCAGGAGCAAAGGTCGAGGCCTCATCAGAAGGGCCTCCCTACCCCTCCTTCCACCCAAAGGCAGCCTGGGGCACAGCCATGACCACTCTGCTTGTCCATCGTCCCTGCTCTGCGGTCGGCCTGGGCAGCTCACTGGAAGCATCTCTGGGGTATGAACGGGGCAGGCGGAGGGGGCCAGGGGTCAAGGGCTACTCAGATGACCAGGTACAAACACCGCCACCTCCAGCTGCGAGACCCAGGCGGGTTGCTGAGCCCCTGAGCCTCACTTTCCTCATCTGTACGGCGAGACAGAAGACAGCACCGGTGCCTGGTGAACCCCACGGCACCCCATCAGCCAACACCCTGCGCTGCCTGGCCCTTCAGAGGCGGCATCCCAGCCAGGACCCTGAGCAGAAACCATACTGGAGTTCGTAACAAATACGAACGTGGGGCACCTGGGGGGGTGCTCGGTCAGGTAAGCGTCCGACTCTTGATTTCAGTTCAGGCCATGAGCTCCCGGTTCGTGAATTGGAGCCCTGTGTCAGGCTCTGTGCTGAGATTCTCTCTCTCTCGTGCTCTCTCTCAAAATGAATAAACAAACTTTTGAAAAAATAACAAATACGAACGTTCTCGTGAAAGCTCACGGGCTGCTAAGAATTGTATCATCTTACTGCATCTGAGAAATGCTCAATTACCTTCTAGAATGAACTCTATCCACCTCTCCGTTTGTAAACCTAAGCAACCACTCATTCACAACACAACAGCTCCCCGTTCAGGACGCCTACTTAAAACTAGCTGCTCCGGAAAAATCAGCAAAAACGCAGTTACGTCTGCAAGACCAGCTGTTCCCCGGCAACACCGACCAAACGCGTCTGCATCGAAGCTACGGGAAGCTCGGGAAGACTCCAGTGTGAAGCATCGGCCGCTTCCGACCCACAACTGCGCGCCGTCTGACCAGCACCCCTGCCTCGGGCTTCCTCCGCTCGCGATCCCAGAGGGAGAAAGCGAAAGACACAACACCGCAGACCAAGGGAGACCTCTCATAAACGTGACGGGGCCCTCGCACGCTCCAGTGTCACTCGTGTAGGGAAAGCAGGGCCCGGCAAAGCCAACCCCGTGGCCGAGCGGAACCCTGGCTGCGCCTTCAGGAAGAGAGAAAGGCACGGCCTTGACCCGTGAGGACAGAGCTCAAAGTACGGCCTAGATCCCAGGGACGGGACACGAGAGCCCCAGTCGGCGGCTCGGTGACAGCACCCTGAGCCCTGCCAGCCCACAGCTCGTCCTCCCAAAGCCGCTGTCTTCACTGCTCTGCACCCAGCCAGTCACCTGGAACCAGACTCCGGGTAGAAGCGGGCCAAGCACCCCGAGTAGCTCACAAGCCCACCGGTGCCTTGACGGGGCCTGCGGCGGTGACGGGGCCCACCCAGCTGCGCCATCAGCACAGAGAGCCGAGGCCGGGGCCCTGGCCCCAAAACTGGGGGTGGAAGGAAGGGCTACGGGCAGAGCGATGCCCCCGGGGACCCCCTTCGGGGGGGGCGCCTCGGCGGGCCCGACCCAGGCACGACCCCCGCCCAGTTACGACAGAGACCGCGTCCTGAGGTGTGCGGATGCCACCGACGTCCCGCACCTGGTCTCCCGGAGGACACTTGCTTCTGGCCTCACGGGAAGGATGGCGAGCTGCCCTCTACCCCCGCTCACGGTGTCTGCCCTGCCCGTCTTCTCCAACTTCCGCGGGAGGACCCCCCCACCCCCATCCGGAGGCCCTGCTGCTTCCTCAGGGCCTCCCTGAAGGCGGCCTCGTCCTCCCCAGCACCCTTCTCCCCAGCCACAAGGGAGACACCCTTTCTGCGTGTTTACGCACTTTTAACAAGAGACCTGATGCTCCACACGGATTCCAGGCCGTCTTTTGTTAGACCTCACCGCCGTCTTCCTTCAGAATGACCCCGGCACCACAGAGCAGCAAACGTGGGCTGCTGTGGGGGGGCGCCCGCCCGGTGGGGACCCCGAGCCGTGCACCGAGACGGCCGGACGACTGGGGAAGACACCGCGTCCAGACCAGCCCTCCGATGACCGTGAATGACCGGTCGACAAGCTTTCCCCCAACTCACTCTTTTCAGGGCAAGTAACGTGCAAAGAGTGGTTTTTCCACGAAGAGCAAAAGAGCAGCTCGGCCAGAGCGCCTGCTCGGGCAGCGGGAGGGGGCTGGACAGAAGGGAGGAAGACACACACCCCACTCCAGGCCTAATGACTGGGGCTGCCCTGACCCCCAAGGGCAATGTGGGTGCCAAAGGGGTGGGGGTGGGGGGGCAAAGCCCCCGCGAGCAAGCGCTCAGACCTGTCCTTCCTTCCCCGGCAAAGAACACGGCCCCCCCTCTCGTCCCCCACAAGGGAGGACCGAGAGCCTGCATCTGTCACTCGGGGGGCCCAGGCCAAGGCCCTGTGAGCGGAAACAAACCAGGCCTGGTGTGAGGGGAAGCTGCACAAGTCTCAGCTGTGCGCACAAGCGGCCACTTCCAGGAGAAAGAGGAGCTCGAGGGCTGGAGCCGCCCCGCGGGGCAGCGCCACAGGGGGACCATGTCAGGTTCAGTCAGGGGGACCGAAGGTCATCACCAACGGCCCCCTCCTGGGACTGGCTGCACGCGGGGCCGCCCCCGCCGACAGACGCCCACAGCCCGCGTAAGCGCTTTTCCAACGAGCCAACTAGAACAACTTTGTGCGCCTGTCCCGCTGCTCTTGCGGCCCGAGTTTGGACGCGCCGAGAGAAAGCTCGGACTCTGAGCCGAACCGCCAGCAGCGCGTTGTGAGAGTCTCACTGCGCCTTCCCTTCCGGGACACCGAACAGGGCAGACTCCAAGATTAGGAGAGCACAGAACAGCAAGGAGCTGCTTCTACCAGGTTCCACCAGGTTCCACGTGCTCAAACCACTGACAGCGCGTGTCCCGAGCACAAGGCCCGCCACCTACAGCCACCTGCGTGGAGGTTCACGTTAGCACCGGGGGGATGCGCTTCTTCCCAACTACTTCCTATCCACGGACCCGTCCAGTGTCCAGCTCCTCTCCCGGACGTACGCCCCAGTTAAGGTCGCCAGCTGTCACCGCTGTGTGCGCGACACGTCGGAGGCCTACCAGGCAGCTCCAGGTCGGCTCCCCGCTCCCTGGCGACAGCGTGTGCGTCACCTTCCACCCTTTGGACGTCAGAGGGGAGGATTCACGTGACAGTGGCATCACGGCCCTCTCGGGAGCTGCTACGACCAACAAAAACAGCCATCACTCTTGCCACGGAAGCCACGTCTACCCTACAACCATTCTGGGAGGCATAAGGGGCCTAAACCACTGTTTTTAAATAGTTTTTCAGCAACGAGTTGGAAAAAGAGGGCTTATTCTGGGTCTTCAACTTTGTGACCACCTAAAGGCCGAGATGCAGCACGGTGGCACCGACTGTGACAGGAAACCAGCCCGGTGGGGACCCCGGGCAGGGAGGGACGGACACTGAGCGCGTGCTTACCTTCCTCCCCCGTCTCCTGCCCCAGCTGAGCACTTTCCTCTTCAAAGCTTCCAATACCTGATTCCGCGGGCGGGGGCTGGCTGTGCTGCTGGCTCAGCTTGTTCCGAAGGACCGCGATCTCCTTTTTCAGGAGCTTGGCCCGCTTGCTCCGAGACCCGCTGGACTTCATGGCGCACGTGAGGTCCAGCTTGTCCAGCAGCTCCCTCAGCTGCTCCTCTAGGACCATGTGGGCCCTGTTGGCTGGGTTCAGCAACCTGTCCACTGAAGTCGAAGGACACCCCGTCAGTCACCGGCTACCGGTGCCCCCCGAGACCACCTCGCGAGCACAGGCCCTGCCCGCGGGAGCCCCACAAGCCCCTCCACGCTCACTCCAAACCCGCGACGGGCACTGCCACAGGGAGACCAGCTTTCACCCCGTGGCTGTCCGGACTCCCCTGGAGGAAAGCTCGTACGCCCGTGGCTGGCCGGCCGGGCACACAGGGACACAGTGCGCAGAAGGAGGGCTAGCGCCTCTCCCGGCGCGCGCCCGAACCACGCTCTCTGGTGAAGACCGGTGGAAGAGGCCCACCAGGGCCGCCCCAGAGGGAGGCGGGCTCTGCTGACCACAAGCCCGGGGCCACCCGTGCAGACGCTGTTTGGCCACCACAGCTCCCATCTGAGCTCACCTCTGGACCCAGACCGCCGTGTGGCGCTACTAAAACTGGGCCACGCCATACGCTGGTAGTTTTCCATTTCGGGCACGTTTACTACAAAAATCCCTAGGGTTCTTGGTTTCAACAAAACGACAAAACTTATGAAGCACAAAATTACCTTAGATCAGTGAAAGGTGGCCAAGAAAGAAACCACTCTTTAGATCTAAGATAAAACGGGGAGCGAGAGGGAGACAGAAGCCACGGCACAACCACCAGGAGCAAGCGGCACCTTCCTCCACAAACGAGCGTCCGCTAAAATATCTGTGCTTTTCACGAAGTAACGAGACACCGGTACCGTGAAATAAATACGTAAGCAAGCCTGAAGCACAACAGGCCGGCTTGCGGCCCTGCTGTCTCCAGCACCACTTCACAAATGACAGAGCCTCAAAACCATTCACGTAACCAAAAATCACGTCCTCTGAAGCCCTAAAGATAACGGCGTGGCCTGTGGGCGTCAGCACGGCGCGAAATCGGCCGCTGCCCAAGCAGACTGGATGTGACGTGCATCCCGCCAGCTCGGCCATCTCCCCGCACGAACGCTGAGGAGACACGTTAGGACTCCTCAGCCGTGAACTTACACCTACTGAAAACCTGACCGTCAGACTTTTGCTGAGGAAACACCAATCACCCACTCGCCCGTCTCCTCAAAGACCCGATCCGCGGCAGCCCGCGAGCCCCTTCTTATTCCAGGGAGGTGGCCTAGCGGCTGCGGCGTGGTGGCCAGCAAAGGCACGGGGACCAGCCCCCGTCCCCGAGGACGGGAACGAGTGAACAGACAGACCACCGTGCCGCCCCCGGGGCACACGCCGCGCTCGGAAGCCCGCACGGCCCGGGGTCCAGCGGGCTCGGCACACGGCCACCCCTGAGGCCTTTCCTCAGCCGCAGGCATCCTCGGGAGCAGACCGGGGCCCGCCCAGGGTGCAAACCCCAGCTGACCCGCTTCTCGGCCTGTAGCAGGCAGACCTCGGCTGTCCCCACTGCCCACACGGGTCCCTCTAGGCTCCTGAAACGTGCCCGCTCGGAACAGAAACGTGCTAGGCGTGCAAAACACACAGCGCGTGGTAAAGAAAAAGTAAACGCCCGTGAAAAATATGCTCGGCAATTTTGACGCGGACGGTGTGCCAAAAGCACGGTACTTCAGGAGCGCTGGGTTAAAAACACGTCTAGGAAGTCCATTCCTTCCCCTCCTCACAAGGCTACTAGCAAACGTGCAGTACGCGTGCGGCCCGCGCTCTACCCCGCCGGGCCTCGCGGACACAGCCTGCGGGGAAGGACACTCTCCCGCCTGCGCCCGCGCCCGGGGCTGGTGCTTACCGTCTTCCCAGGAGAAAGGCCGCCGAGGGGCCGCGGCAGGCCGCTCAGGCAGGTGCATCCCCGAGGCCTCCTCAAAGCCGATGCTGTCGGCCTGGCGCCTGGCCTGCCTCAGAACAACACCGCCCTGATCGCGCAGCCTCACGGCGGCTCTATAAAACACCGTGTCCTTGGCATTGTACTTCATGCAGTTATCTACAATGAGATTAAAATCCTCCTCAAACTCAGTGAGGTGTCTATACCCTTGAGCTTCTAACCGTTTCCTCATTGTGGCAAAGTCCATGGGATGTTTAATGTGATCCAGATAATCTGGTACCTAATTTCAGGGAGGAAAAATAATCGTTTACAAACAAAGAAGGACGCTTATTCATCCTACATAAGCAACACACCCGCCACGTAACACACGAGACACCCGCACGCACACGCGCACGGCCCCGAGGACTCTCGCACCCCCGGGGGCGGCGCCGACACGCGCCACATACAGACCCCACGTCCCGCCAGGGGCCCCGCTCACTCAAGCTCCTTAAACCCAACACACGGCAACCGGTGCGCTCATCTGGGCGGACAGCCGCCCACCGACTGCTGCTCGGCTGCTCGCTGAGAGGCAACTTTCACCTCTCGTTTTCACTATCTTAACGAGACAGAACTTAAAGAGCGCGTCCAGTAGAAACCGACGCCTAGCAGCTAAGCAGGCTTACGCGCTACCTAGGGAACGGGTACCGAGAAGCCGCGGGGCGACCCCGACGCCAGCGCGTGAACACCCACCTCCTTCAGGCTCACCGGCTGGGCGAATATCCGAGCCGGGTCCTTCTCCTGCAGCTGGTCCAGCACGGAGCGCAGCAGCACCGTGAGCGGCGTCAGCCGCAGCTCCAGGGCCATCTGCTCCACCTTCACCTGCGAACACGGCCCTGGGTCACGCGGTCGCGCTCCCCGCACCGCCCGCCCGGGGAAGGCCGCGCCCCCACCCCCCACCGCGGCCTCTCCCCAGGCGCACCCCACGCGGTGCCCCCGCCCCCGGCCCCCTCCAGGCTGGGGGCCGACGTCCCCCCTCATCCCGCCGCCCGGAAGCCCTCACGCTGCCCGGGGGGGACCCTCCGAGGGGCGCCGGGCCTCACCTGCTCCCGCTTGAGCTTCTCCCGCTTGCGCAGGAGCTCGATCAGCAGCCGCGCGCGCTCCAGGTCGTGCCGCAGCCGCTGCCAGTACTTCAGCTTCTCTTTGGCAGCTTGAATCTCCTCGTCATTTTCTCTCTGAGGAAATTAATTGGAAGTCGGCCTCAGACCCTCCCAGGGGGAGCCACGGACCGCGCCGGCCCCGCGAGCCGGCCGGGGCGCCCACCCAGCGCGGACTCGCCCCGCGGAGCGCCACGGGGTCTCCGCGTGCCAAAGGGGCGTTTGCCGGCCCCGCTGGGCCAGGGGGAGCCCCCGCGCACGCGCGGACACAGACATCCCGACGCCGGCACCGGAGCAGGGGTCATGGGAAACCGGGAGTGGCCGGGGCAGCCCGGGGAGCAAAGCCCGCGGCCGAGACTGCTGCAGGGGAGTGGGGGGGGCGCCCTGCCCAACGCCCGCATCACGCACCCACGCCCAACGGCTCTGAAACCGGCGGTCCGTGGTCGCCACTCGGTGCTTCCTTGGAGGGGCACACGTGCCACCGACCTCAGACGACCCTGCCTACTCCGGCGTCTTCAAACACAGAAACGCCACCTCCAAAACGCAAAGAGGCAGAAGGCGGCGGACAGCACACCGACGGCAGCCCTGCCCGGCGCACCTCCGACCGCAGCGCCAGGAAGAAACGCTCGGGCTACGACACCAGACAGGGCCACCAGTGAGCAGCTCCGTGGCAGCCGAGGACGTCCCCGTGACGGCCAGAGAGGACTTCCCCGCACGGGGGGTGGGGGGACACTCCACCTCCAGAAAGTTACAACCAAGGCCCCCCGTGCTCCCATCCAAGTGTCCCTCACTGCCTGGCCCGGCGCCGCGCCCTCCTCCAGGCTCCCACGCAGCCCACCCTTCCCTCCCTGTCCCTCGAGGTCTGCCCAGGCCGAGGGGCCACCGTCTGCTCCTGCGGCGCCCTCCTGTCCTCACCTACAGACCCCACCTTCCACCGCGACACACGGCTAGCACCACCACATGCCAGGAGCCGAGACCCCTCTCGGTCTGCGCCTCAGCTGAAGGCACCCCTCTGCCCGATCACAGCTCTCGGGCAGGCCCGGCGCAGACGGCGGAGGAAGAGGTGGTCGGGGCATGGCGAGGGCACCCCTCCACCTGCCCCCGAACCTCAGCTCCACTTAGACACTCCCATCTGTCCCCCTGCGGGCTTCCAACAGCTGCCTGGGGCCTCCAGGCCACAGCAGCCCAGGGCGCCTACTGCAACCGCATACGTGTGACCTGGGCCGAGAGAAAGTCCCCACCTCGGCTGGCATCACCTCACCATTCCTGCAGACGGATGCACACCCATGGCCTCGGGCAGGGTGCTCACCATCAGGTTCCGGAGCGTGTTCCACACTCATCAAACCCCCTTCTCGCTCTCTCTGGACCACTCTGCCCCTGGAGTCCCCCCCCACCCAGACAGAGCTAAAGCAGTACACCCACCAGGCAGGGCTCCATCCCCTGGATGCCCCACCCTCCTTGTCCGAGCACAGAGCACCTGCCTCTGAGGCCACAAGCAAGGGGCTGTGACACGATGGCCCAACCATAGGGCCTGTGGGCAGACGACCACCAACCAGGCTACGAACACTCTCCCCACTAGCAAGGGGACAAGAAGGCTGGGCCGGAGCCTCCCCTCCAGGCGCTCTCTGGCCCTAGGGGGAGGCTGCCTCACCATCCATCCGCCAGATGCGAATCACAGAACCTCTTTTAATGTTACTGGAGTCTCAGGCGGGGGTGCGTGGCTGGCTCAGTCAGAAGAGCGTGCGACTCTTGATCTCGGGGTCGTGAGTTCAAGCCCCACGTTGGGTGTAGAGATTATAAAGAAACTTTAAATAAAGGTGTCAGGCATGGAACAGGGCACTTAGCTAACTCGGTTGGTAGAAAGAGAGTCTCTTCTTGAGGATGTGGGTTCCACCAAGCCCTACGTCGGGCCTGGAGCCTACTTTAAGAAAAAAAAAATTGTAAAAATCTCAGGCATTAAGTTAACATTAACAGCAGCTGTATAAACAGCTGGTCAGTAAATTAAAAGGTAGATTTAGAAAACCAAATCCCCCCAAAAGCATCCGAAAATCACCTCGTCCGTTAGTCTGAATGAACAGTCTGAAAACATCAACCGAAAGGGTGTTCAGCCTGGTGACCCTACGCAGCAGGAGAGAGCTGGTGGGTGCCACCTGCCGTGTCCCTGCTGCACTCATGCCCCGCACGGGGGACGACAGGGCCGCCGCGGAGGGCCGCTCTCCTCACACGACGGCCTGCAGCACAGGACCTGACCCCGATGCACACGGCTTCACCTACATAAAAGGGCCTGAGTTTCTGGACTCTGCTCTTCAGCAATCTTTGTTTCCTACATAAAAACCTATCCCAGAAGACTCCAGAAAGCAGGAGAAAGGCCAAGTGGTTTCTGGTACCGAAATGCTACCAGGAAAGAGAATGCTAGATCACATTAGCCACCTTCCACCTGACAAATGGGGGGGGGGGGAGCCAGGCCAGCCCCAAGGGGTGAGGGCCCCAGCACATCTACCCGACTCCCAGGGTGCTACCAAGGACGTAAGACCCCAAAGAGGCAGGGCTCCCTGCCCCTAAGGCAGGGTGCACAGAGGAACTCAGGTCTCAGTGCTGAGCCTCACGCCTGCAGCAGCAGGGTGGGTGGCAAGAAGCCGTGCCCCCAGCACAGGAGGGGGACTGTGCTGTCCTAAAGCCAGCAGAGAGGAACCAGAGACGCACCTGTGACAGCTGGAGGCACTGCTGGCTCCAGGGCCTGAGAACAAGACAGACAGGAGCCTCGCCCTCCCCCTGCCCACTGACCCTCACCCAAACCAGGATCTCAGGACGGTGAGAACAGGCTCTGGAGGGGGTCGCCATGAAGGTCCCCGGGAAGGTGCCCACAGGGACCCTGCGCTCAAGGCCAGCCCAGAAGAGCCCGGCCGGATCCTCGAAGACTGCCGTGCACAGCAGCACCCGGGAGGCCAACCTGACGCCCCTCGTCTGCCCGGACGTGAGCGACCTCACCCTCAAACCAGCTCGTCCCGTCCACCCATCTGTCCCCCACCAGGTCAGCCACGGGAGGGAAGGGCTGCCCCTGACCTCCTCCACAGCCCAGCTCAGAGCGGGCGTCCGGAAATACAGACAAAGTTAAACCCTAACATCAAGTATTTCTGAATTTTCAAAACCACGTGAACATCACACCGAGCCCCACATGTGCCGCGCGGAACATTACTGTTCCGGACCCTGCAGAGAAGTCAGCCCCTACAGGGTGACGCAGGAAAGCACCGTCTGGGAGCAGAGGGAGGCAAACGGGGGTGCCTGTGCAAGCCACACAGGGGGGCTTCCGACAACCGTGCCACTAACCCGCCCCCGCAGGAATCCACCCCGCAGGCCAAGCCAGGTGCGCTCCAGGGGGTCAACGCTGGAGTCATACAGACTCAAATCTACGCGGTTCCTCGTGCCAAGGACGCGAACACTCCCACATCTCATCTTCCTGTCCCTACACACTGATTTCATACGTGGTAGCCCCAGGCCGGTCGCTTCCACTGGCTCACCCGTCCCATGGGCACAAAGCCCCGAAGGGGAACACCCACTCCATTCCCAAAGGGAGGAGGGACACACAGCATGTGATCGAAGCAGCCGTCGCTAACAAAGACCCCCAGTGTGACGTAAGGTTAACCGGGGATTCTGACCCCCAGGCCCAAGCGTGTGTGGGATGCACACGGTCCCCAGGGTGGGCAGCACGCTTAAGACACAAGGGATGTATCCACAGCAGTCCGCGACCCCAGTGCACCTCGGGACATTCGCACAGCCGGGCCTCACATGCACATGCGCCCAGTGTAGCCAAGACTTCAGATTAAGCGGGCCCCCTTCAGTGTACTGGAATGCTCGACCCAGCACCTCTGCCCCAGCCACGCGGGACCGTCCATGGACATGACTCGGATGGCACTGCAGGCACCAGGCACTGGCCCGGACCACCACACCCTCAGGAGGGCATCGGGCCCAAGAAGCACACCCTTCCTTCCCCCAGATGGAAGAGGGTCAAGAGCAATCCCACAGAGGCCCAGAATCTTCGACTTAGCTGTGGTTTTCAAAAGTATAAAAAAGATATTAAGATCCATCAGTTTTTTTTAACCGAGCACTTAAACATGTTCATGTTTCACCTTTCTGTGTCACCATAGGATCAGAAAAAGTCCAGATGATGGGCTCCCTAGGGCTGGCCCCATCCCGCAGGCCAGGGGCAGGGAGGTGGAGCGGGACACGCTCGCCCGGGTCTCCAGCCATGACCAGAAGGAGGAACGGCAGAGACGGGAGGGCCTCTCCCCTCCGGGGAGAGGGCGAACGAGTTGTCCGCATGCTCCACGGCCGCACGCTCTCCAGGCCGCGGCTCTACCGCACTGGGAGGGACGGGTTCGCACCTGCTACAGCCGAGCAGCCTCCGGGAAGCTGTGGCCCAAGCCCAGAGCACAGCAGAGGGGCTGACTCCAGCCCGGAGAACCCCACCGACCGGGACCCCTGTGGATCCGGCGTCCAACCACATCTGTGTCCCCTCCGACACACTCAGCCACCTGGCAACCCAGGATCGAGAGAGAAGAGAGAGCGAGCGTGCAGACAGCCTCCGAGGTGACGGCAGCATGGCAGCCGCAGCCATCCGACGTGAATGTGTTGGAAGGACAGTCCCCGCACGTGCCCAGAGGGGCAGACAGGCAACGAGGGGGGCCCACTCTCTGCTGCGTCCTCCGCGCTTCGCAGCCCGAGGCCAATCGCGGACACAGCTCTTCCCCCCTACAGAGCTGCCCGCTCCCCTCAACATCAAGTGCGCCAACCCAAAATTTTGGGCGATGCGCCGAAAAGCCATTTTTGTATTCAATTTATTTTTGTGACATCTCACAGAGCCAATTTCTTACTTTCTAAATTCATTCTTTCAGAACTGCTTTACACTATCAGATGGTTCTACAAACCAAATTTACTAAAATTCAACAGCCTGATTCATTTTGCTTTTAAAAAGCAACTCCTGGAGCGCCCGGGTGGCCCAGTCCGACTCTTGGTTTCAGTTCAGGTCATGATCTCACGGTTTCCTGAGCTGGGGGCCCGCATCGCGCTCTATGCTGACAGCACGGAGTCTGCTTGGGATTCTTTCTCTCTCCCTCTCTCTGTCCCTCCCCTGCTCGCACTGTCTCACTCCAAAAAATAAATTAAGAAGCTTAAGAAAAAAAAGCAAACCCCGTTTCTTCTCACTCGCCCAGCTTTCCTCTCCTTCCCCGCCCACTGCGGTCACCGCGAAACGGCCTTCAGAGCAAAGCCCTGAAAACAAACCACTCCTTGCACATATGCAAACCCAAACTCCCAGCCCAGCACACAGGCATGCGTCCGAGGGGCCCAGGCCTCACCTCCTGTGGCTCCCACCCGACGTGGCCAGCACGGTAATGACTTCCCTGGGCGTCCCCAACATGTCCAGAAACATGAGGTGACACAGGCAGAGGAGAGTCGTTCGCACAACCCGCAGCTTAGACAGCCCAGGGCACACACGGGTCCTCCTGCACTTCTAGAAGCGGCCCGGACCGGGGCTCGCGGGCGGGGAGTCTGGGGCCTGGGGCCTGACGGGCTGGCAACACGCGCAGCCTCCGGCAGGCGCTGCTCCCGGGAGTCGCAGGGACCGCTCAGCGCGTCAGGAGGGCAGGCGACGCTGAGGGCACAGGACCACGTACCTGCTGCGTGCTCCTCTGGGACTGCAGGCTGGACTGGAGTCGCCGCAGCAGGGGAGCGCCGTTCCTCGACAGCCTTTTGAGCAGCCAGTAGCTGTGGGCTCTCTCCACAAACTGCTTCTTCCGCTGAATGGCCACCTGATTCGCAATCCTATTTAATCTAAAACATGGAAAAACTCAGAGTTTAGCTTCAAAGGAGTGCATGAACGTTTTATCGTAGAAACTAGGAATGACGGGGTCGCTCTTCACAGACCGCCGTCCACACCTTCGCGGCCACTCTCAGCCACGCACACCACTATGTCATGCCGTCCCCAGTCTGCTGGGCACAGCCTGACCTGCAGCCGCCCACAGCCTCCACCCGCTGCTAACTCACTCGAGGGCCTACCAGACGAGACACGGAAACACGCTGAGCAAACCTCTCGGGTCCTTACGCACTATGTAGGCCACACGTGCCGACCGCATCCGGCGACCGATTAGAACTGTTGCGAAGGGTGGGGGTGAGGGGGGCACGGGTGTCCCCTCCAGTCACCTCAAGAGGGAAAGAGAGGGGACAGCTGGGGGCCAGGGCTGACGGTGGCATTTGCAGGACTGTTGGGAGACAGGACCCTTGCAGGGGCCATAAAATGCAAAGGGTGTGTGAAAACACTTGCGTGGAGGGAGTGCTCACTTCAAAACCCCTCAAAGGCCAACCAAAGCGTTTCCACAGCCCTGTTATCCTTCCTGCTGAATCAAAGCAATGATTCATCAATTTGACTCACAAGGACACCGAAAGAGAATATAAATTCGGTCATAAACTAAACACTTAATGAAAATACAAATGAAACGAGATGTTCCTCATTGAACACCAAACATCAAAATGTCAGGACGAAAACGAGAAATTTTAAGGCTGCATTTTTTAGAGAATGCAAATCTAAGCTTTACAAAATAATCAATGACAAAAAGTCCGAACACCCCCAGCTCTGCTGTGTCCAGACCCACAATGGCCTTTCCCTTAAAAACAGTGGCTCTACGGGGCACCCGGGGGGCTCAGTCGGTTAAGGGTCCCGCTCTTGGTTTCAGCTCAGGTCATGATCTCAACAGTCTGTGGGTTCAAGCCCCACGTCGGGCTCTGTGCCGACAGCATGCAGCCTGCTTGGGATTCTCTCTCTCCTCTCTGCCCCTCCCCCACTCTCTCTCTCAAAACAAATAAACTTTAAAATTAAAAAAAAACAGTAGTTCCAGCTCCTTTCCAAGACCGTTCCAAATCACGCTGTCGGTCGGCCTCTGTGCCGAGGTGGCCAAGGGCACGCCTCCCGCACGGCTGCCCTCCTCCTGGCGTCAGTAAGACCCACACGCCATGCGGAGAACGAGTACCGTGTTGACTGCAAAGCGCGGCTCCAGTGTCTGTCCCACACAGGGACCCGATACCAAGGAACCGGCTTAGGGGACCGGTATCGGGTCCCTGTGTGGGACCCTGTGTCAGACACAGGCCAGGGGCTTTGCCAGAGCGGCCTTGTCAAACCCCAGAGGAAGACACCGGGAGCTTTCTGGGAGCAGATGCAGAACCCGAGCTCGGGTCTGTCCACGGCCTGACCGTGACCACGGGGCCACGGGTCTGCACATTCAAGGACGCTGGGTCTCACAGCCTCAGCAGGAGGCCGGGGGGAGGACACCTGTTGGCAGCAGCCCAGAGCATCTCGGACGTTGCCGAGGGCGCCAGCAGAAGCCCCTGGGGGGCACCTGGATTCTGCTCAAGGCCCTACCCGCAGCGCTCCTCGTCCGCAGGTGGGGTTGTGCGGTCCCGGGCACCCCGTGGGTGCTGTCTTTGGCGGGGTCTTTGTCTGTTTTACCACCCTTAGCTGAGGCATGCTCCGATGCAGTGAGGTGCACGGACCGTACGGACACAGTTCAGAGGATCTGTACATGCGCAGGCAGGTGTTCCAACACAAGCACACGCTCCGTTATTTCAACGGTCAAACGAGGCAACGTAAATAAGAGTATTCCTTGACAGAAAGAAATGCTGTTTAGCAACAGCTCACAAAGATTCTGAACCTCACGAAACAAGCCACCAGACTCAGGATTTCTGAGCCACAATCAGCTCACAGACCTGAGCAACAAGGCTTTGATGAAAACCTATCACGAGGCGTCCCAGGGTATCTGCCGAAGAACTGCAATCTGAGCGGGTTCTGCTTCACGAGCTCCGAGTCCCAAAGAAGCGGGGCAGGCGTGGGGCACCGAGGCCGCGGCACAGGCACCCAGCACGTGCCTCCCAGGACGCAGCGGGGCCAGCCCTGAGCAGACCCCCCTCAGCCCTGCACCCGGCGAGCCCCCGGCCCGGCGACCGGCGCGCAGCAAGTGGAGAGCGGAGGGACGCGCTAAACCACACGAGAAACGCTCCCCACGCAAGCCTGCAAGGGACGGGGCCCCCCCTCCCTCAACAGTGGAACTCCAAAGGGAAAGAGACCAAAGGGGCCTTTACGAGAGGAGAGACAGAAAGGACTCGTGGGATTTTGAAAGCACAGCACAGCCTGGGGCTCAGAAAGAGGGCAAGAAGTTGAGTACCACACGGGGGAAGACAGAGGGAGACCCGGGGACAGGAAGGGGTTGCGGGAAGGGCTGGGGGCTGGTCTGCCTTCTCCAGCACACGGTGGTAACAAGGGTGTCTACCCTGTAATTATGCACTTGTTTTCTGTTTCTTTCTTGTTTTGTTTTTTACTCTGAATATTGTTTCAGGAAAGACAGTATTTGGCAAGGGTGCATCAAAAGGATCAAAAGTCTGATCTTCTCAAGGCTTTCTGAACGGATCTCACACACTATGTGCCTCCAGATGAAAGAGAACCAGGCTTCTGGAAAAACTGAGGGAGGACCCAACGAAGGGCAGATGACCAAACATCAGCTTAAAGTGAGCACCTTGGGGGTGCCTGGGTGGCTCATTCAGTTGAGCATCAACTTCAGCTCAGATCGTGATCTCGCGGTCCCTGAGTTCAAGCCCCACGTCGGGCTCTGTGCTGACGGCTCGGAGCCTGGAGCCTGTTTCGGATTCTGTGTCCCCCCCTCTCTGCCCCACCCTTGCCTGTGCTCTGCCTCTCTCTGTCTCTCAAAAATAAATAAATGTAATAAAAAAAAAATTGTTTTAAATAAATAAAGTGAGCACCTCGCTACGATAAAACTGCTCTTACACCATCTACTTACGTATGTGACCAGGAAGCAGACTCCCATCCACGGTAGCGGGAAGCAGGAACAGAATTAAGGGAGAGCGTGTCTCATCGGAGCAGGAAGGACATCCGTCCACGAAACACCCAGTCACCTCGGCCCATTTCCTCAGAGCTGCGCCCAGCACATACCACTAACGGAAGAATCCCGCTGAAGCGCACGCCGGCAGACGCGACGCCACCCGATCAGGAAGAAACCCCCACCCTCGAGGCCCAGCGACAACCACAGGACAGCAGTCACCCTTGGTGGGAAGACACCGACGCACAAGGCCCGACGACCCAGGTTCCACTCAACTCACTTTCAGAAATGATGAGCCTCGTAACCTGTGCCTACGTTGAATATTCCAGGTGACACGTTTCTGCTATTCGCTCTTAGGGTGAAAACGCTGGATTTCAACTCAAAAATGTGGACGGCACTACAATGCTCTTCAGAACTATTTTGGTGGGTGATACACCTCAGAAAGGAGAAAGGCTGACTCATAAGGCGCGAAGCATCCGGCTGGGGGATGTGCCCGGCGGCCCGGCCAGCACAGGAGGGCCTGGGCACGGCATGAGGGCGCACAGGGCAGGCGAGCCGGGACCCAGTTACAGTGCCGATCGCGGCACCGGATGTGGGAAAAGCACCCGCAGGAAAACACGGCTCCCCAAAACAGAGCGGAAGCACGCAGACGACCTCAGCACGATCACAGTAGTGATTTTAGGAACGGAATTGACAGTTTCACATTTTCCTCCCGCCCCCAAAAGAAAAGGAAAGCAGACAGTTTGTCAGAAGAGCTCGGCCACTGGAGGACCAGGCAACGCAGCCCCTGCCGACAGCCGGGGGCGAGGGACGCGGACGTCCCGGCACAGGGACGCGGGGCAAGGCAGAGGCCTGGCTCACGGGCGAACACACTCACGAAACAGAAACGACGCAGCAAACCGGGTCCGTTCGGGTATAAAATGACACCGCCCACCACGAGCAAGGGGGTCTGTCCCAGGAAGCCAAGTGTGCTCTTGAGATTACAAGTTCTATCAGGACTCACACAGCGACAGACTCGAGGGCAGAACGTGACGATCTCAAGGTGCGGAAAAGCAGCAGGTCAACCACCACCCACGACCCAAGACTCACAGTGAGGGGCAGGGGCGAGGGGCGAGGGGCCCACCGGCAGGGCTGGGAGAGGCTCCTCCCCAGACCCGGAGCGACAGGCACGCAGGGAGATGCTTCCCAAGATGGGAACCAAGACCAAGAAGCCCACCCTACCGGCTCCCGCGAGAACAGCGGGCACGAGAGGCAAACGAAGGACCGGAAGTGCAAGCCTTCCCGAGGGAAGGAAAGTATAAAACGCCACTGAGTGGCATCGAGGAAGACTTCTGCGGAGACGCTCAACGATCAGCAGTGCTGGCAAGAGAAGGACGAGGCATAAGAGATACACAGATCGCCTCCAAACCGGTCTGCACCCTCTGTGGAATTCCCAAATCCCGAGGGGCTCCGTCAGGAAACCTGACAAGATGCCTCCAAAACGTGCACGAAGGAACCACAGGTGACCAAGAGCCACACTCGCGTCAGAAGAGCCTGCCCTGGAGCCGCAGGTGGCCGAGGGAGCAGAGCCGCCCGCCCACCGGAGGAAACTGGCCCGGGGCTGGAAGAGCTCACGGACCTCTCGGGAAAGGAGAAATTACTCAACGGCGAGCGAAAACTCAGCTCTCCACGCTGAGGAATCAAGCCACACACACACCTCGTTAAGAAACGCACCCCCAAGTGACTGAAGACATGGACTGAGACACAGATCCAACAGGTGGCCCAGGCCTCGACGGACGTGCAGGGACACGTCGGGGAACTGGCCGCCCTGGGTGCTGACTCCCTGCAGGGAGGCCAAGCACAGCCAAGATACAGCCAACAAATCAGGAGACTGGTCAGCGGTGGGGCCAGAGGAGACAGGAGGGACATGGACAGGGAAGCCGTGTGGAAGCTTTTAGAAGAAAACCCTGA